TTTTTTTTTTTGTCTAAGCACCTTTTTACCCAACATTGAATCAACATGGTCAAATATCTATGGATGCTTTGACATCTGGATTGGAGGAGTAGTGATTGAATATAAGATGATCACTTCTGAAACCAGAATAAACTCTAAATCGTCGATGTTTAAAAGGTGAATTACCTTATTTTTCCTCCTCTCCTTAAACAGGTATTCAGTCAGGACCTGTTGAGATCCAAGTGGCTGAGCAGAAACTGATTCCTGAGGTGAATCCACCTATTGATGCGCATCGCCCTGAAGAAGCGATCGTTGAAGATGCTCTACCTAAGAGTGAGGACATTCTGCCAACACTTGTACAGGTTAAATCAGAGCCTGCAGAGAAGAATATCACACCGCCACCGCTCTTTCACGGGGGGAACGAGCAGACAAGAGAAGGAGTTGAAACCCTCGGCGACACCTTCGCAGCGTTTGAGAGAGACAGCCAGCAGTGGATGCCCAGACTACAAAACAACCCTGAGATGGGCAGTACAGAATTTCTTAGCAGCTCGGAGCAAAACATGCCATCGTTCCCCGGGATGGCTCAGTTACTCTCTCCACCAGCTGAAGCTTCTTGTAGCACCTTCTCTTTCCCAGGAAAACCGTACGGCGAACTCAAAAACAGCATGATCTCCCAAACGCCCTTTGGATCCTCAGACCCTCTTATGATCTCACACGAAGGAGGCTTGCACGGTATGACAGAGACCTTGATGAATCATGTGCATCAGAGGAGAAGCAGATCTTTTCAGGTAATCAAACCAAAGAAGTGCTTCATCTGCTCGTACTGCGGCAAGATCTTCGAGCGAGCCGGACACCTTGAAAGGCATTTGCGAATTCATACCGGCGAGAAGCCGTACGGCTGCCACATCTGTGGGAGGTGCTTCAATCAGAAGAGTAGCCTCAAAGGCCACATGAAGACACACAGAAATGGTAAGGAAGGGGCAAAAGTATTGTTTGAAAGACAGAACTTCTCTATAACATTATAGATGATTGGGGAAAAAAGCAGGTACACGTTTTGGTAGCTGGAATAGTGGATTTTTGTTAAAGCTTAAAAACTCATACTTTTTCCCTAATGAGACACACAGGTTTCACAACATGGTAAGAAATGTATTTCTGAAGAAATTCATTAGGAAAAAAAGCAAATTAACAGTATAATTCATTTAGTTTTGGTCATGATAAATATTATGAGTTTATCAATGCTGAAACCAGGAGTCAACTGTGATACAGCTTCCTGTGGAGCGGTTCGTGGCAGCCCGGTGAAAGCTGTGAATTGTTTTTTTTGGTTTGCTGATCATATTGGAGATCATATTTCTATATCCCCATTAAATGTGTATTTTCCAGTTTATGGGATCCATATGTGAAAACAACCAGCACTACTGTGTATAAAATTTGTTGGCTAACACTATCTGCTAATTCACATCTGTTCTTGTTTTTTCTGGAAAGGAGAAAACCCAGATGTGCTGGAGCCCCCGCACATGATGTTTACACTTCCTGATAACACACTGTTGCAGAACTTGGCAGAATCTAAGAATGGACTACCACCTTTTGAGGAACCCTTACCAGGCCCCACATACGGTGAGACGGCCAGGGAGGAAACTGTTATGGTAAAGCTGGAGCCTAATGGAGAGAATTTTCAGGCTGTAGGTCAGGTAGGGACTGATAATGGCACGGCAGCACCAGATCAAAGTCAGCTGTGGACGTCTGGGCTTGAGAAGAGCAGCGATGCCCCTGAACAAACTCTCTGTGTACTTCTACAAGATGTCAAGTATCACCTCAGTCCTGCTGCCGGAGCCGCGAGTGAGCAGCAGGGATATACGTCGCCGATCAAGGATCTGCCTTTTCTAGACAAAGAAAATGAAGAAATGATGCTCAGCAACCAGTATTCTGTCATAGCCATGCAACCCAGCAGCTCTGATATAACTCTCACACCTGAGCCACACAATCAGCATATCATACACAAGGTGGCTGTGAGTGATTACAACACAGCGAATGACCGGACTCCTGAAGTGAGTGTTTTTGGATTTAACATGAACTCGTCAACTGACCGTGAGGGAAACTGCGGCGAGAAGTCTGCCACGCAAAACTGCTTCATATGCTCGAACTGTGGCCAAAGCTTTGATAGCTTCGATATATTTCAGAGACACCGGTGTGAGAAAATCACAGAGCAGCCTTTCAGCTGTGAGATCTGTGGAAAGAGTTT